AGGGCTGATGATGCCTTTTACACTTTCCTTTTTTTTGTCTTAGTTGGAAGTAAATTGCATGAAAATTCTTTCGAATACAAAGATTTTCTAAAGAACGAATTATAAAATAATTTCCTAAAGAACAAATTATAAAATAATAAAATAAAATAAATGTAGTTGGATGTCTAGTTGAATTTCTTAAAATAATACAATAAATACACCAATAAAATTTCATAAACTCATTAATAAAAATTGTGATCTAAGCAGGATTTCATTGGATAATCATCATAATTTGATTAGTTATTTAATTTCCTAATTATTTCCTAAATTGGTTCGCTATGTATATAATATGGTTCAGTGGTGCGTTGCTTAAATTATCGACTGAAACATCCATGGTTCCTACCGTTTCTTACCGTTTAGTAAACTTTATCACCTTATGGACACAATTATTTCATTGTTTTTGAACAGTTTCCTTAATTTTTGTTAAAAATAATGCTTCTAGATAAGAAATATTTAGTGTAAAAAATTTTATCATTGTAGAAAGATTCACAAAAAGATTTTATTTTGATGGATTCGCTAATGAATTTTCTGTATGAATAAATCGTGTTGTAAATGAATTATACTCATTGACCGGCCATTCTGATGCGAGGTTCACATCGTTTATTATGATTACATCATAAAAATCAAACACTGCCGACAGTTTTAATGCCGCGAGGAAAGAAATTGGATAAAGATCTACGAAGATACATTTATCTTAAGAAATTTTATCTACCTATATATATATAATATAAAAAAATTCATATAAATAAAATAAATGTAGGAAAAGAATGACCGAATGGTTGCTTCGATTGAAATTGAATCCGCTTCTGACCCTTTGAGCAAAGTAGTTGTAAAAAAATAAATCCAGGTGGTGCGGAGTGACCTATATTCGTAATAGAATCTCGAGTGCTAGCCAGTAAAACTAGCCAAACCAGAAATGGTGATCAAGAAAAAAGGATGCAGTAAATATACATGAAAAATGAATAAAATGCTACTCAATTGAAACTTATTTTCTCAGCAGCCATTCTTGGACGTACATTATTATTAATATAAAATAAGAAATCTTACTTTTCTTTTCTTCAAAACTCGAGCAGTGCTTGTTTGCGATAGAGCATGTTGAAATAGAGCAATAGGTTCAGGCTTGCTGATTGCCAGTGGAAGTCTCATTTTCTGTTCTTGCATTATAATAATGTTTTAAAACTATATTTGCATCGCTAAAGAATTTTATGAATAATCATTCCAGCAAAAAAAATTTTTCGGGCGCATTTAATGGATTTCATTATAAAAATATTAAAAACTATTATTCCATTTGGTTTTTCCAAGCTAACACGATATTTGCTGATATATTATTAAAGATCCTTCAGCTAATATTTACAATTAGCGATATTCGCCTGCATCACCCGTATGCCTAAGCGACCCTCTAGCCAATGGACATTATCTTAATCAATCAATCCAGTCGATCCAGCCAAATCAAAAATGTACGGTACCTATTACGCTTAATAAATGCATTTGTTCATACAAAAATATGTGAAGTATTAATAAGAAAAATTTACAAAAAAATTCCTGCAAGAGAGTTAATAAATATTGGATAATATTTGATGAGATTAATTAGTGTAGATTTTTGAAAACCTTTTAATAGCCTTTGATTTTAAATCGTACTAATCGACACTGTTTTAATGAAAAATGATCAATGGTTCGGACCGTTCGAAAAAGACACAAAGCAATTCTTCAATATTTCCTGTTTTCTTCATTTTTGTCGATGAATTTGATTTATATCATAAACTTGATAAGATTTTTTTATCGGTGTGCAAGTGTTATAATTGCTGAATATGAAATATTATAATTTAAACCAGTTTCCTGCTAAATTTGAAAATAATATAAATTATTAACAGATTTTCAAAAAGTTCTCAAAAAAAACGAATAGGATTCAAATTCTTTTTGTTAAGCACTGAAAAGTTCATGGGGATACGATAATCGAGCTGATATTGTCGACTAAGGATTCGAAGGAATATTTTAATGAGATCCATCTATACTTCTAACTCTAAGTAAACAATAGGAATTGTGGCCCCTAAATTAGAAAACTGACTTACTAGCAAAAGGTTATATCCTAATGGCTAGTAGGGAAGAAGAAATTTTATGAATCACTGATTTATTTCATAATCAAAATGTTTATAAATACTTTAATATAAAATAATGTAATATATAATATAACGTAATATAATGTATTACATATCGATATATGACACAGATTTTCCTAAGACTAAATGAGAGATTCCTCAGAAAATCGTAGAGAATAATGAAGTAAAGATCCTACTGGACTTTTCCATCCAAACAGATAAACAAATACTGGCCAATCAACCAGGTATCGTAGTAATAGTCAAATAATAATATATAATATATCAGAAATCATGTTTGATATAGCAATACCAATCGACAGGAGCATCAGAAAGAAGGAATATTGACAAGTCAAAGAAATATGAAGGAGGAACTAGAGAAGATGTAGAAAGTAAAGCAAAGTAATTCCAGTTATGATTGGAGCACTTGGAACTATGACCCCTGAACTAAAATTGGCTTTCATAGATTCCAGCAATAACATGAGAGATCACTCAGGCCTCTGGCAGAGGATCCGAAGCTGAGGATGGATGATCATGGTGGCCATCCACAGGGGAGTGAGAGAAAATTTATATAAAGAGAGAATGCATAAAGAGAAAAGGAGAAAAGTTATATTAAAAAAATCTTTTTCAGCCTTTGTAGATGGTATGGGTCATCTTCAACCTTGCGTCCTTTACTCAGGCGGAGCTTGAAGGCTTTTCTTTTTAATACCATTTCAGCTGGCTGCATTATTACCACAGCGAGTTTTGCCAGTCATTTGGAGAAAAAATACCTATCACCATATGGATTTTTAATGGTGATTGTATTCATGTTGAGGAACAGAAATTTATGGTGGCTTGATTCTATTCGAAGCAATATGTCATACGTCTATCATGCTCTTCCACTTTTCTCATTATTTATTCAAAATGGACATTTTCGGCAGCCAAATTTGAAAATTTTATTTCTCTTAATTCGTAATTTGCAATTTGTAGCGTATTATTAAAATATTTTTAATTACTTGAATAGCACTTTTGTTTGACTATAATGTTATATTTATTTATTGATAACCAGCCAAGCAGGGCGACAACTTATATGTGCTTATATTAATAATAACAGTTAAAATAACAGAAAAAGAAAACACAAAAAAAAATAACAAAATTAATTATATTTTAATTATATTAATTATAAAACAATATGACAAAAATTAACAATTTAAAGAGGAAATTACAAATCAATATAATATAGTACAATTCGAAGTAACATATATAACCTGAAGATAAAATCGAGATTTCTCACTTCCTGCAGTTCTTGCCTGGTGTAAGCTCTTCTCTTTTTTTTTTTTAAATAATATCGTAAATGATACTATCTTTTTTTAAAGACAGCTAAGGATGAGCACAAGCTATATCGTTCGATAATTTGTTCCAGTAGTTAATAGTACGAATAAAGAAGTCATGACTCTTAGTTTAGTTTTGCATATAGGTTTTAGTAATTTTAAGCCATTAGTTCTTGTTGGATTCATTTTAGTCTAAAGTTAGATTTCGAGCAATCTAGTTTAACATAACCATACAGAATCTTATATGTCTAAATTAAATCTTGTTTAATTCTACGAACTGAGAGAGAATCCATGTTATGTTGTAGAAGTGTTCTTTTATAATTAAAATTATAATTTATAATTAAAATTATTTTTATTAGGAGAGAGGCGTCGTAGAAAATATTTTTGGAGTCCTTCAATTATTTTACCTGTTTTGCGATGTCTCGAGGAATAACATGTATATTGTAGTCAAGAAGAGGCCGAACAAATGGTTTGTATAATTTGATAAGAAAACTTTCAGTTTTGTTCTTAAACGAACGAAAAATAAAATTTAGTATCCTTGAGGATTTCTTTACTATGGTTCTGAAGATCGAAATCGAGATTTTTATCCATGATTATTCCGAGATCGGAGATGTGTGAGACTCTATTGATTAAATTACCATTTATAAAAAGGTTAGGAACATCGAATCCTTTAGAGTTGATGTGAAGAACGCTACATTTTTGAAAGGAAAGGGTAATTTGCCTGTCATATAGCCAGCTGACTATTCTGTTAAGGTCCTCCTGCAGTGGTGATAGCCTATCTATCTGATCTATCATGAGAATAATAAATTTTACAATCATCAGCTTAAAGATAAATAGTAGAATTTAGTACCACATTGGTGATATCATTTATATATAATATATAATAGAAAAAGCAATGGTGCAATACAACTACCTTGGGGAACACCATATTTAACAGGTTTTGTGTCAGAAAGAGTGACGAGTATGTTTTGATAATGATCTTCTTTGTAATCTGACACGCAGTTATAAAGGGCCGCTGTAATGCCATAGCTATTAAGTACATAGTGATCAGTAATTTGCTATGGGAAACAGTATCAAAAGCTTTAGCCAAATCTAGATACGCAACTGATACTGTTTTACCATTGTCAATTGATGCAGACGAATCGAAAAGATTTGTCAATATTTGTGAAGTGGATTTTTTTGTACAAAAACCATGCTAATAAGGGGATATAAAATTATTGGCATCAAAATAAGTAAACAATTTGTTGCAAATCAACTTTTCCTTCCTACAACGTATGTAAGGCTAATGGGTCTATAATTAAAGGGTTATGCTTCCTTTTTTACGGGTGGGAATTATATGAGACAACTTCCAAATTTTGGGATTAAGGCCAGATTTCATAATATCTTTATAAATTAAAAATAGTGGAAGATTCAGTGAAACTAAACATTTTTTATAAATTATTTCTGGAATATTATATGGACCAGCTGAAATGGACGGCTTAAGTCTATTAAGGCATAATAAACATCCAGAAGTGTTACTTTAACTTCACCGAGAGAAGTGCAACAAATTCCATTCACGTTAAAACAAGAGGTAATAAAACAAGAACTGAGTATTATCCTCATCAACAAATATACTGGAAAAATATTGATTAATTATATTTGCAATATCAATATCAGATGTGATCACATTATCATTATGTTGCAGAATTAATTGTTTACGTGGATTTGCAAATTTTCTTTTGATATAGGTCCAGAAAGAATTTCTATCAATATTTAAAAGTTGTTCTTCTTTATTTGAAAAGTAATTATGAATGGCGCTACGGAAACTTTTTAAGCTTTCTTTATATGCAGAGAGAAGTCATTTGGCAATTTGGTTAATTGATATTTATTATAAAGCTTCTTGACACTTTTCTTAAGGGATTTTAGAAAAGTGGGAATCGACCTAATGTTCGTTTTTCTTAAAGGGATATATTGGTCTATTAGATATAAAATGATGCTATTAAGAAAATTAACTTTTTCATCGATAGAGGGAATTAAACAGAATAAGAAATCCCAGTTTATTTCTGCGAGGATAGAGTTAAAGATTTCATAATTACAGTGACGGTAACTTCTAGAAAATCTCGAGGGAGGTGAATAACGGTCTAATTTTAATGAAGCATGAATGATATTGTGATCACTATTACAAAAAGGTTCCAAGACTCTAATACTATCAATAAGAGAGGTAGGGGTAGCTAACATAACATCTAATATAGTGTTGTACCTAGTGGCGACCTTAACATGCTGCTCTAGACCAACATAGGTACAAAAGTTTAGAAAGTTCTCTTCAAATTTATTGCTACTTTTTAAACAACTATTTTCCCAATCTATGTTTGGCATATTAAGATCACCAACAATTACATAATCAGTGCCAATTAATTTTAATTTGAGTAACATGTTGTAAAGGTCCCTAGTGAATTTGCTTCCATAGCCTGGTGAACGGTATAGATTTAAAAGGGAAATATTTCTGTTATTAAGATAAATTTTAATTATCAAAGATTCAAAAGAGCAGCAAACATAATCATCGAAGGTTATAAGTTTATAATAATCAGGAATAAGCATGATAAGCCCACTTCCACGAATATTTGAACTATTTATTGTTCTATCCTTGCGTGATACTTCGCGATTATCAATAGAGTCATCCAACCACGTTTCATTTATACAGAAAATACTATTTGGATTATCAATTAGTAAGAGTCTTAAGTCATAAAGTTTATATTTTAAACTTCTTGCGTTAAAAGTATATAAAGATAAATTACCTCCTATTTTATTACCTTACTTGATAACTTGTCCTAGGCTGCTGCAGACTGATGAGAATATGTTGGAATCAAAAAATTGCTCGTCGATGCAATCCATTTCCGAGGCTACCTGAGTTCCACTATTTGAAGATTTCTGACGACATACTTTTTCAGATTGAGACTTTGTTATCTAGCAATAATTCTCTTTTCGTCAGATCTTTTCGCAAAAAACTTCCAAGGGGAACGATCAAGCGCACATCCTTACAACAGACATGGCCATATGCTCTTCGAGACGAATTTATTTTAAGTACTCGTGGCCTGCCTGTCCCCTTCCTTCCATGACGACGAACCTCCTTAATGAATCCAGTCTTGAACCCAGAGGCAAAACAATGTTTTCTGCCAAGAGCCTATCGGCAGATTCATCATCCGTAGATTTCTCTGGAATGTTTATGCCAACTAGACATGGTTTTTTTTCCTTCTTTTCAAAATATTCTTCAATGGTTTCCAATACTTGTTCAGTTTCGATTTTTGAATGCTCGAAGTTGCCCAAAGACGAAGCTTTCAAATTATTAATATCATTCTTAAGTTCTTCGTTGATCTTTGTAAGTATTTCAACAGATCATAATTAAATCTTGTTGTTTTTCATATTTCTCAGTAATGGAAGTTAGTTGTGACTTCAGATCCTTGATAGTTTTATTTAAACATCATTATTGGAAACGGCCCCATAAGTTGCTAGCTTTTTCGATGCCATTTGGAATTTTCTCTTATCTTACAAGTGAACGGTATAAAGCAATAAGATCAATATACTTTTGAAGAGAATATCTTTCAGACGAATGTAATGAGATTAATGTATTCCTTCTATAGTTTTGCGAAGCACAATAAAATAATGAAAAACAGAGAGAATGACTAACACAACTGCTCACGAGAATAGAATAATGAAAAAAAAAAATTAAATATTTAGATATATTTATTTAAATTATATTCATAATTAATTAAATTATATTTATAATTAAATTATTAAATTAATGCTGGAGAATTTTTTGTTCATAAATAAAAAATTTTTGGGATATTTCATGCCTGAAAAATTTTTTATAAATATTCGAGAGAAAACAGTTCTTTTCCAGAATTTTTTTCTTGGATTCCTCACAGAGTCCTTGAATTATGTTGCCCAGTTTATTTTTTCGAATTTTGTATAGGTTTTTTTTCGGTAAATTGGATAAATTGCATTAAAAAATGAAAATGAAAAGTGACTGAATACTGAACAAATTGCACCATTTTACACCAATTCAGTAGAAGCATTTGTCGTATCATGCAGACTGGAATCGCAAAAGCCGCAAATCGCATCTTCCATCTAGTGTTTAATACGAAAACAATGCAAAATGTACGATGTATATTGTATGATGCACAATGTACACCGTACAAATTAATACAAATTTCAAATTGATAAATTTTAATTCATTAATTTATCTGGAAAGAAATAAATGCTCAGCAATTTTTAGCAATACTAGCTTTTTCATAAGTTAACATGGGATAAAATGTTTCTTATTTCTCGTTATTTAAATCAGTTACTGCAAACAACTGCCGTGGATGATAAAAAATAATCCTTAATTTTTCAAATTATTCAATATGTATGGACAATTATCTAACCGTTATCACTAATTCTGATGGGAACGATGATATGGTGTAATTTTGTAATTGTAACAAAATGTAATTGTACTGTATTACTACAGTATTACACTTATAAATTCAAAATTAAGCCATCTTCTCGGCTAATAATTATTAAAACTATACATGTGCCTTATAATAATAATAAAAATGACGGCAATTTTCGAAATATTTATAATAAAAAATTTTTTTGGTTTTGGATTTTTCAAAAACAAAAATGGAAAAAAATTTTTAATGATTTTAAATATGCTAAAATTAATGTTTAATTAAAATATTAAAATATCGACGACGACAAATAACGAATTGATAGCAAACAAGATATTAAATTTGTTTTCGTTGAATAATATTATACTTTAAAGCGCTGATGGGCCAACAATCACTTGAATTGATTTTTTACAACTAAAATTTAACAATTCCATAATATTTCGACTATAAAAACTTGAATTTTTTTTCTTGAAAACTGAACTACTTTGTATTCAGTAATTGGTGCAAATATTTTCTGTACCTATACGCATACCAAAAGCATTGCTAGTTAGCCGCCGGCTTGTCAGCTTAGAGAAATATCCCAACTTTGACGTTAGAAACACAGGTGAATCGTCAGCATCACCAGGACTTTTGGACAGGTTTATTCCTACCTGAAGTAGAAGCTCAGCATCGGCACTCCGAACTGATTTACTCTCTTTTGTTTTCACGTCATACGAAACTGCTATTCGACGAAGCGTGGTCATAAATAGCCATTTATTTATCCCACTGGACCGGATTAAACATAATTTCTTGATTGGCTATCAAATTTCGATCGCGTTTTTTATTAAAAGAATAATCATTAATCATAATAAATCAAAAATCATTATTAAAAGAATCTAGATAAAAATTCTTTTCACAAGAGTGACCAAATTTCAGAGAAAATATTCATTTACAAGCAAGGATCGAGCTGGGATTGTCGCGAACTCCATTTGTGCATTCCATTTGAATTCGGATTATTCATTATTTACGAATAACCAGAAGTTCAATGAATCACGTTTGTCACGACTAATGTAGTAAAAGTATATTTTTCCAAAATTTATTACTCTTTCAAGTTTTCTCAGTCTTTCTTATCATAATTTAATTGAATTTTGGCCTTTTATACCTCTTATACAGCCTTCCTGACCTTCTTTCTTGATTATTTGGCGTAGGAACTATCCACATAACCCTAGCAACAACAACTTAAATCTTTCCTAGTAAATGCGATGGCTGAGTGGTCGAGTCTCGCATATTTATAAATTTAGTTTTTGTTTTTTTTTTAAAAGATTCCTCACCATTGCTGGTCAAACTCGCTCCACTAGTTTATCGCATCGGGCAATATGCCAAGGAGTCCTTTTGCGATAGAAATAGTCGGTGAGTCGCCGGCATCAAACGGTGTTTTTTATCGTTGGATAATAGTATTTTTAATTTTAATTTTCTGACTCTCCTGTTTTAAACTCCTTCGTTTTTCCCATTAAATTGTTATTTGGTAACTAGTGAAGTTTGAAAATTAAGTTTCTATATCGGATGGCTTTCCATTTGAGTTTGTCCATCATTAACTGCAAAATGTTTCAACAGCGTGGCAGGCGAGAATAATATTAAACCTCCTGTTTTCTCCTTTTTTGCAAATGAAGAATGCGCATCCTCTCAGTATTACCAATATTACCAATATACCAATCTAATTCTGTTATGCAATACGAAATAGCAAAACGCGTCCTAACCAAACTGTATTCAGACCAAGATGCAATTGTGGTGACCAGATATTTAAGCTAACAAGGATGAATGAAACATCGCTTCAAATACCAGCAACCCATCGTTTGCTTCATTTGCTTTATCGATTTTGCAGCTGCCTTCAATTCCTTCCATTGATAGAAGAGTGCTCTGGATAGTGATGAAATGTGACGGTATTATTCGGCTCACGAAGGCAGCATACTGGCACAGATCTACATGGTGAACTTTACGAAACAAAAACTGGTGTCCATAAAGTAGGCTTCCTTTTCCTTACAATATCCAGTTATGCGATAAACTGGATATCGCTTGTCGGCACACAAGAGGTAGTGCAAATTAGTCCAGAGCTTCACAGATCTTGAATACGCTGATGATGTAGTCCTTTTAGCTGACATTTGTAATGAAATGCAAATAATGTTAAACAATGTGTTAACAACTGCAGTGAGAACTCAACTCAAAATCAAGATAAATAAAAAGGAATCAGCCAGTGAAGCTAGCCTAACAGATAGAGTTACAATAATGAAAGTTATTGTTTGAATACTTAATTTCGCCATGTTTTTGGAATGAAAAGATACCACTCCGTTTTCTTGACCAATCATTGAAGCTATCACTGATCACTATGCCGTCAAATTTTGCGAGTTCCAATTTACGAATTTAATTTAGCAACTTGTATTCATTTAAACTGTTGGGCAAACCATGTGATAAATCTAAGCCTTTTGATCTTCACATCACTCCCACTAAAAAATAAGACCATTTGCGAAGTCGATGATATGTGTTGATTCACCAGAAATAATAAATAAATCCATAGAAGTTAAATTTTCAAAAATCTTTATATGATTAAAAATAGCGATTTGAAATATGAAATACGATTTGACTTGAAAATTCACCTTTTCACTGCCACATAATTACTTCAAATTTTTATCACATAGATTTTGTTGCAAAATATTTTAAACAAAATATTTCATTAAACATTTCACAAAACCACAAAAGCCTTTGAACCAGCGGTATAAGGGCAGCGGTATCGCAATTAACTGAAATACACTGTAACAAATGGTTGAAATTGTGTTTATTGAGCTGTTAGTGAATGAAATTGGAAAGAACTTTTTATGTTCTTAATTCTCCAGAATTCTATTTTCAAATTCTGAACGCTTTCGTTTCAAAATGCATTCTTTTTGCACTCATACACTTTGGCACAAATAATATTTTCTATTGCTTCAAGTAAAGCAATATTTTTTTGCGCAAAAAATTCTGTGCTTCTTTTCGATTTTTCATTGCATATACATAGCCTAAATATTTCTTTCTTGATGAGGAGTAATGCAAAACACCAAAATAAATAATTTAGAGTTAATTTAAAATTTAGAATTAAAAATTGGAGTCAAAAATAACAAAAAATAAAAAAATTTGAAACATCGAAATTTGAAAAAAAATTAAAAGATAAAATTGAAAATTTTATGACCAGTGAGTATAAAAGTGGAAACAGATAAAGGAAAGCCGACACTTTTTAAACCAATGAGGAATTTATTATAGATTGGTGCTTATTGGACATTTTTATCAACATCCGTGGCATAAGATAAAAAAAGGCTTATCTTATTTGCATTAATTTAAAGGCCAGTTTTTGCTGCAGTAATTAATAGCCGGTATAATGTCTGTTGTAATTCTCCATAACTATCAGCGAAAATAATAGCATCATAGACAGCGTATTCAAGGTCCGTTGTTTTATACTCTGGACTGATATGCACACCTCTTTAACGCAACTGACGAGTGGTGTTCATAACCCGATAGTTGAAAATAGTATTGAATATTGATTTTATACAATGTTACTCTGAAAAAGCGCTTTGATAAGTCTGATTCTTTTCTTTTCTGGAATCGCCATGTTCCTGTCTAAAGAAAGAAAACTTACAGCAAACTTACATTAAAATATTGATGACAACTAATCAAAGTTCCATAATAACTGGAGCAGTAAGTGGATGTGAAAAATTTTTTTAAAAATTGAACAAAGTAAAAAATTCTTGAAATTTAATCGGAGCAAACTCTAATGATTTCTCTACCAACCAGCTATATTATTCATTGGCCTAATGTAAGATTTTTACCTGGCTATGTGGTCACAAAATTTTTTGAAGCCACTGCTTAATTTTTTACCAATTTCCATGAATTTAAAAAATAAACAATACTTCGAGGACGAATTGAAAAATAAACAAAATTATTTGTTCATCTTTTGAAAACTGATGATCGGAATTGAAGTGCGTTTCATTTTTATTTACCACAACTTGTTAAACTTGTTAAACACACATGTAGTTTGACATGGGTTTACGTTCTAAAACACGATTCAATAATTCTTACTTTATGGCGATATAAATCTGATAAACTTTAAATTTGAATTCTTCCATTCAGAATCACCAACTTGGATTTTTAAAATTTTTTAGCATTACTAAATTTAAAAAATTTTAAAAAAATATTTTTTCTTTTGGCTTTTTTTCTCGTAGTGTTTTACATTTTGCTATTTTATCCATTTTCGCTTTAATTCGCTTTTCCACATCCTTCGTCTTCTTCTAATACTTTGCAGTAATACTGCTCCATTACCTATAAAGATTAGATACTCGGAAATGGCCCCATTTAAAAGCGTCTCAACGATTGCAATGAAAAATGTTTTAGGAGAAAATGCATATTCATCATATTAAATAATTTGTGGAAAACGAAATAGATGAGAAATCATGCACAATTTTTTAAACCATTTTTAAATTTTTTCTGGTTTGGATGACTCTTGATCGCTGATATGAGATGATTTAACTTAGAGGTTAGATTATAGGTTCTCAATGCCAGGAAAAAAAGGCGCTAATTACTAATTTTAGTAATTTTCAAAAAAAAATCAAAAAATCAAAATTTAAATATAATTCTTGGAAATTATATTCAAATTTTGCGATCTGCTTGCTTTCAATTTTTTATTCTTTTAATAATTCT